CAGAGAGAGAGAGAGAGAGAGAGAGAAGTACACAACCTGTTGTAGTCCCTAATACTAGAAATTGACTCATTCAAAAATGATATTTTCATTTTTATAGCACTTATAAAAGGAAAAAACCATTTTCTCCTACACGGTCCATTCCCATAATTCCTTAGAATTAATTTCAGATGGTGCTTATGTCGCTCCATTGCAAATAAAAGTGCAAGTCGCACTTTTACAGGCCATCACCTTGCTCCCCCACCCCCCACCGTTTTATTCCCTTTAAGAGAACACCTATACTGCCACCTTCTGGCTATTTTGTATTACAGCAGCAAGCCAATGAATTGCAGCACGTGATCTAGAGAAAACAAAATAAGCCTTTTCACATTCTTGAACTTGTGATTCACATGTGCACGTTCAAGCTACGCTGTCAGTAAAAATACTCTGAACTACTTTGTAGCAGCTGAGCTCCCATTTCATATTGTGACAAAGATTCTTTCCCCACTTCACCACACATACTCCAGCTCCTTTCTTTCTCAATTCGTTGGTCTAAATGGAGCAGGGGTGAGGTCTAACATTAAATTTGCAAAGGAATACACCCTAATGTCTCCATCATACTCACTTTGAGACAATGCACAGCTTCCACATTGTCAAACCAACTCAGTTGTTCAACAACAGCCACAGACTTTGGCCAGGTCTGATTTAGTGCTCAAGATAGCACAAGTTACCGGGCGGAGAGGGGTTGGTAATAGACTGATGGCCTGCTTGTCAGCTGGTATAAATCAGAGGAACTCGGTGGAGTTCCACCGATTTATACCAACTGAAAACCCAACCCAGGTTGCTGTACCAGAGTGTGGAGATTGTGTCTACTTCTTACAAGTGCTGCTTGGAAAAAGAAAAAATGACCCAATTGGAACCTATCATTATTTATGTGAAGGGGTGGGGAAAACAATTTTTTTCCCTCCTGTTTAAGTAGCGGCTGGATTCAAAGCCAACGTGAGATGTTATTTTCCTATTCAAGGGCCAAATACACCCAGAGACACAGTATTTAAAAACAGCCCAAATGATGAGAAAGAAGGATTGGTGGTAAGAGGGTAAAACAAGAAAAAAAAGCCAATCTCTCCCTAAAATTAGGAAAGGGAGCAAGCTACAACCCCCAGAATTTGTTCATGTATCACTGACGAGGAAATGTATTTAGGATGGAGCTGTAGCAACGGGGCCTTGCTGTCCTTTGCAAGGGAAGGGGCATAGGGTGAGCCCATCTAGAAACTGCCAGCGGAGAGAAAATGTTAAAAATGAAATCAGTCGGTAACAGAAAGCCAGCTCGAGCACACTGAAGGAGAGCCTGTGCGTGCAACAAGGGGTCTGAACAATTCTATTGCCTTCGGATTCCACCAGCACAGCATAGTGT